AATGTTTACAGTTATTTATTTCAAGAAAACCATGTTATCTGATTCTCAATGTTCTGAGAATAGGAAAAGTTGTTTGAATATAAGAGTTTGAAGTGCCGTAGCACACTTGAAATTTATAAGCTTAGTACTTAGAAGTAGCTCCCAAAAGACACTGGGCTTATGCCTAACATTAATTTAGAGGAGAGTGAAGTGAAGACTAAGGAAAAATTGCAGAATGCTAAAAGAGGCAGACTGCTGGAACACTATCAGAAAAGTACTACACTGAAGAAACTCTAGAAGAGGGTCTTTCAACAAGAGAGGGGTGTGTAATGCCAAGGACACTGGGGGAATCAAGGCTTGGAAGCAAAACCAAAGTGACTGCTTTGACAATAGACAGAGCAATATTAGAACCGAACAAGTTCAAAGGGAAATTGGAGACAAGGAAGACAGTTTGGAATGGGCTGAGGACTTGGAGATGAAAGGGCAAGAGGGGGAAAAAAGACAACCATACAGAGCATCTAATGACTCTCTGATTTGGGAAATACAGCAAATGTCAGTCTAGAGCACCCAGAGGAACCTTCTGGTAGTAACTGGAATAGTTGGCATGTGAGATATTTATAAATTTTTCAAAGCCAATTTAAGGGAGAGGCCAACCCTGTAAAACTGCATGAGCTAGTGAGATTTTATCTTCTGTAATGATATATGCATCCTGGGGAAATGGCATTCTGCTCACATGGGACATATTCTCTTGTCTGCAGTTCTGCAGGGAAGATAATTCTTTCAATGGCTCCATCATCCTCCGATTTATCCAGCCAACGGCCACAGGGGAACTTGAGGCACTGTCCCAGTGATGGGGCATCAATCTCCACCCATTCCAGAAACCAGCCAGTTGAATTACCTGTGATTGGAGAGATAAGAGTGAATAAGCCACAAAGCCTTCACAGAAAACAGCAAATGAATCATTGAATTCCAGACCTCTGAGAAATAAATCTTCCTCTCTTTTGCCAATGGAAAAATAGAATAGATACCATAAAGATCATTGCAAGCAATTGTCCAGGTTTGAGCTAATGTGCTTTACATTTCTACATGTGTCAAGTTAAAGATGTGCACGTGGAAGTGCGTCAGGTTAAAGATGTGCATGTGGAAGTGCTAATTACTCCATTGCTTGGACTAATTGGCATTGATAATAAGACAGAGGAGTTATCAACAAACATGTCCCTTGGTGTGTCTTTCCACTACTTCCCTGTTTTTAAGTAGAGACATACTTACATCTAAGAAGCAGCTAGGACTTCATGATGAAAACAACAAAAAAATGAGACAAGTCTATAGGTCCCATGTACAACAAGAAAAACTACCAGGTTTTGTGATATATGAGTAATCTCTCTAAAGATGTGGCTGCAAAACTAAAAAGTCTCTTACAGAGAGAGAGGACGCAAAGGTATCCACAAGTTGCCACTGCTGTGCTCTTATTGCCACAGCCATGGGAAAGGTATTAGCAGAAAAGACAGTAGCAGCAGCAGCCAACGTGACAGCAAGGATCTGTCACTAAAAGATAAAATATGTTTGGGGTCCTGGAGGCAGGTTATTTTATACAGCAGTGTGCCTAAAGCACTAGAAATGCTACATTACAAAGCAGATTATCTTACCTTTATTGTCATGGCCTATCTTGATTTTTTTCAGGTCTCCAATGTCCACAGACTCCACTGTAAACTCATCTACCTTCCCACGCTCAAATTTGTTCTTGTTAATCTTTGAGGCCTTTAGGCTGACTATGCCTGTTGTAGTGATGCAAAAGGACATTGTTCAGCATGTGAAACAAATCCTCTGGGAATGTCAACAGTAGAACTGGGAAAGTGGCTAAAATGTAAAAAATGGCTTTTCATCCCAAGATCTGAGCTTTGTCCCTCCCTCCCTCTGAACCCAAATCTCTATCAACATATATCAAAATATACATAATTCCTTTCTTGAGTGATCCTCTGGCAGTGTCACAGGGTTTATGCTGTTGTGCTGTGTTCACAGCTAAAAAAATTGGTACTACCCATCAGTTCCCTGTCACTCTCACAGACATCCGAGTCACGGCACACACAGCTCTGGCTGCTTCCAAGAGGATTTGCTCATCAGCTGATTAAATACTTCTGGGCCACTCAAAGAGGCAGAGAGCTGGATTTCAGGAGCATGCTGATTCATTGCTGAGGAAAGCAAATCATTCATTGCATTCACTACTCAGTAATGTAGTCCCAGTCAACTGTGCTGCTTCTATATTTGAAATTAAAGCCTTTAGATCAGCAGATGGTGCAAATCAACATCGCAATGTTCGACAGTGATTTACAGCAGCTGGTCGTATGCTCCCAGCTATCACAATGTGTGTCGAGACAGCAACAACATGAAGTTGTGCTAAAAAGGAGTGAGGAATGGGCATTGAGGAAACAAAAGAAAACAAGGACCTGTCTTTTCAGGTATCCAGCAGTGAGTTGCTATCCTTTTCCATCACATGAATCCATACCTGTATCATCTTTACTTCCATAGAGAGTGATGAAGACATTGGCATCTGTCCCAGCATTCTTCTTGTCCCCAGTTTTCACTTTCACAATGTACGTTATTGATTTAGCTGTCAGATAAAATATCTTAATTTAAGAGTATGAAGTCTGAGCAGGAATTAACTCTGCTTTTCATTGCATATATGTGTTTAGTTTGTGTTTTATTTTGACTGATCACAACCATGTTGTAATCTCTAATTCCTGTCACATACTGTGGTAGCCCTTGGGGTGAACTGGGCTATCTGGTTTCAGAGTCTTCTACTGCTCCAGTAGAAGCAGTATATCTGTAGATATACAGATATCTGTAGATATGCAGTCTATCTGTAGATATACAGATATCTGTAGATATGCAGTCTATCTGTAGATATACAGATAAGAAATGTGTTAAAGCCTTTCCATTTACTTCTTGGGAATCTCTAAGGCTCCTCAAAGCTGCCTCTGCCTGTACTATTTCATTAAACTCATTCCCCTCTTTATCCTACTAGCACCATATAATGTATGTGCATATAACACATACCAGAAGGAATATGCATTTTGACATATACAGTTCATATTCACAAACACACCCTTAACAATAGCATCATTAGGGAGATTTCTATCACATCATCATCTAGCAAGTGCAGTAAACTCATAAAAATGTGGAAAAATCTAATATAGTCTTCCCTGTGCTGCCATAACCTACTTGAGATTTCCAAAATAGAACCTTTCTTCCGTAGTTAGACACATATTTCCAAGATGCTGCTCAGCCAGCAGGTCCTCCTGAATCAAAGGTCTAAACAATTAGTGGAAATTTGTTGGCTATACAATTTGTGGAAATTCTTCATGTGTTCCAAAACATCTGAGGGGGGAGTTAGGGAGAATTAAGACCTTTCATTGGCAGTGAAGCCAGCACTGTGCACTCAGCACCTTTCAGCATCAGACCTAGGAGTGTGTCATTGCTCTGTGATTATCATGCAAAATTAGGAACATGAGAGACAGAGTTATTTCAGAGGACAACGAACACAAGCAGCAAGATGGAAAGTGAGACAAATTTAGGTCCTTTCCCTTTCTCTGCTCATATTTGCTCTCTGTTCAGTTTCATGTTGAAACATTTAACCATCCTAGTCCATGATGTGAAATGGCTGGGATTTGTGCCTTAGATATTAGCAACAAATGTGCATTTCAGTTGAAAGATAATGACTGAACATCTTCCTAGCTTTCTTTCGTTGGGTCCAATCTTGCAAGATGATTAAAACCCCTAAAAATGAAGAGTGTCCACTCCTCACTGGCTGACATGCACTTCACACCTCATTCACACCTGAAAACTTCATGTTTGGGGCAGAATTACTCACAGCCCAGTGAACACTAACTGCTAAAGCCCTTAGCACTGCTAATAACTTGGTTCCTTTTCAACCCCATACTAGAAGAAATACAAGGCTAACATAAACCTTTCTGTTCCAGGCCCAGCGTTGCAAGAGACTGGCCATCATTTTCCGAATCTTTCTTTACAAATGCTTCATCCACTGGGACCAGCTCCCTGACAATCTGACCGTCATCTTCCTCAACTGCTAACCACCGCTGGCACGGAAAATAATACCTACAAGAATGACAGCAGCACCCAGCACTTACACAGGACTTCACAGGCTTTAATAACAAAAATAAGCACAGATCAGAGGCTACTTAAAGAAAACAAGATTACTCAAAGCTAAACAATATATCTGTTTTCATCTTCGAGCTTTGGAATTGTTTGTGGGAGCTAAATCCGCAAATAGGTTAGTGAGCACTTACTGAAAAGTGCTGTTTCTGAGCTGTCAGCCCCATAGGATTGATCCTTTTAGTTTTCACTCCCAGAAGTTAAATAACTCCAGGGAATCTATGGTCTCACAGGCATTTTATGTTTATGAAGAGTGGACCCATCTTGAGGTCCTTATGAGCAGTCCCACCCACCAGAGCATTGTGCAACTTTGGAGCATGTGACTTCAAGCATGTTCCAGCTCAAAAGCAAGCCTGTATTTCAGGTTTCTAGCAGCCTAGGCTTTGCTCATCCAGCTGGTTGTGAAAATCATGGGAATTTGCTTCGATCAAGACTTACTTTTGGCCTAGATCTTTGCATTAGGTGCAAAAGACAAAGGAAATGTGAGGCCAGGGACTCCCAGGGTGGAGCTTTGAAAGGAAACATATGAGTGCAGACTCTGAAAGGGGATCTCTTCAGGAGGGAGACTCCCTCCCAGAACAGAGAAAAACTGAGGTTTCCTTCCAAACACCACTGGTTCCCAAACTCCAGAGATGCTGGGGCTTCAAAACCCCACACAGAGGTAGCCTACAATGGCCCCATGCTCAGTGTAACAGCACCGTCATCAGAAGGCTCCCAAAAGATGCCTACTCCCTGTGAGTTGGCGAGGAGCTACAACAATGCCTTTGTCAGGCATTTCCTCTGCCTTCCCAGGGTTTTGCAGGCTCCTGACAACATGCTCCCTTTTCTGACCATATGACAAGGGTGCGACAGGCTGCTCACGTGGTGCTCTCCTTGAGGTCAACAATCTCTACTCTCTCCAGGAACCAGCTTGGGCTAGCACCAGAGTTATCGTGGCGGATCCGCAGCTTCTTCAGTTCACCCAGGTCAATGGCTTTGATGGTGAACACATCCACCTGCACAGGAGGCAAGAGGCAAATGACTGTTTCCCAGAAAGGGAGAAAGAAAGGCAGTAAATGGACAAGGGTAGTCTTTTTTTCCATTGAAGCAAAAGGTGTTTGTACATTACCCTTGTATTCTTTGGGTGGATGTACTAAAATAACTACAGAGCCATGAACTCTCCCAGTAACATTCATGCTTGGCTCCTACAAGGCGGTAACAGCCATGGAGTTGCACAACCTTTCACTCCTTTCTTTACCTCATCCCCATTTCAGCTCTAAGTTTAACTCGACTCTCCTAAATCTCATTCCTTTCAGGCTTATTATTTTACCCCAGATTGAATCTGGAACTAGACATGAATGTATTGATTCCATGGAAACAGTTCTGTGCACCACATGCTCTTTATTTCAAATCAGATAATTTCTTCCTTTTGTCATTTACTACAACTAAAAGGTTCATTTATTAGCTGTATTACAGCAATAGGATGTTTCTTCTTATCATAATACTTTAAGCATCTTATTGTGATTAACTTATTGGTAGACTTTGGGTTTCTACTCCCAAGAGCAGAGGGTGCTACATTTGCAGCTTGGAGCTCTTCCCACTGAATAAAGAACCATGTGCAGGTTGCAGTTTCACCGGTGCCAAGCTCATAAATCACAGCTAACAGCTTATTTAAAAACCTTAGGCTCTTTTTTTGTGACTGCAAGTTTTCAGCAGCTGCTTATTGTTTCCATAATTTTTTTGTTATTCAAAATTATCCCTTGAACAATTCCTTGCTATAATAGTAGCTTGTTAATTGTTCATAAACATTTTTATGGCAAATATTCAGTCTAAAAGAGGTGTTGTTTAATTGGGTTGGATTATAATATAATTATAGCACACCATGTAATATTGCTTTTATTTTCTAACTGATTGAGTAGAACATTTAGAATTGTATTAATAATCTAAATACTGACATACTTGAGCTGCCTCACAAATAATCCCCAATATGAATTTAAAGTTGTGGTTTTCAAGTGTTCTGTCAGGAAACATTATTTCCAGAATGCTTACAGGAAGCAGATGCAAAAGGTGGCTCCCATGTAGAATTGGTGTTCAGCTTATTATTCAATTTAATTTCCCTGGAAAATATTTTGAGGCATTTTGCTTTGAATAATACACTTAAAAAATAAAACACATCAGAGCTGCAAGCTGAAAGAAGAAGTCAAGCCTTGCAGAAAAGAGACTGTCATGAATGGCCAGCATGAAGACTGAGAGAGCTCTGCTAGCCTTCTGCTCGCTTGAGTGAGTTGAGTTCATGCATTACCTGTCCCTTTTCAAACTTGTTGAAGTTATTTGACCTTTTCAGCTGCCGTTCACCCGTGTCTCCTCTTCCTATGCCATAGATGCTCAAGAAGACATTAGCATCCGTCCCAGCCCCCCACACATTCCCAGTGAGAACGTGGACTTCATATGTATTCTCTGCAAGTAAAATTGCAAAGGCAGATCAGGAGGAGCTCAAAAATAGACATATTTTGTCAGATCCATGGCTCACCATGAAAGCCTGTAGCCCAAAATGCTGGCACAGTCAGCTTTAAGAAAGATTTTGTCTGGAGTTTGCATCTGTCTTAAAGCATGAGCAGCTCCATCTTTCTCCAGCCTCTGTCATTAACCATATAAATAGTTACAGCCTGCTAAACTCCCAGACAGAGTGGTAACCTGTGGGACTTGCAACCTAAGTGCCCCAGACAAGCTTTGGAGAATCCTGTGGAAGTCCTTTAGGGTATTCCCATTTCAGGCTTTCTCCCCTGTCCTCTGCCTTAGTTTTACCACTGTCCTCTTCCTCCTCAGAGCTGGTCAACTAAACCACAGTGTAAGCTACACTGCAGGCCAGGGGGGCCATAAATGGTCCTGCAAATCACTACAGTGTGGTTATTGTCCTTCATGCAACTGCTGTATCCACACACACACGCATATTCCCTCTGATATTTACCTTCCAGGTCAGATTCTCCCTCAGGCACCAGCTCCACCACAAGCTCCTTGTCTCCTTCATCTTTAGCCAACCAGCGATGTGCCACAAATGTATAGACATCCGTTATTTCTTCAGCCTTGGTCTCCTCTTCTTCCTCCTCATCAGACTTCTTTTTTTTCTTCTTCTTCTTTTTATCAGACTCCTTTGTCTGCGTGGCAAGCCGCTTCAGTGTGATGCTTTCCAGGAACCAGCCATCCCCAATGCCTTTCCCATCGTGGCCTATCCGAATCTTATAAATCTTGCCAACATCTGCAGCCTCTCTCTGCCACCAAGGGAAAGTCAGCACCCAGGAGGATATAAGACATCTTAATTTCATAAAGTATGTTCTTAAAAATGAGGAGCATCACCTCTATCACCCAAAATGTCAAAGCAAGGATAAAATACATTTTTTATGCAAGTTTACATTTACTTTTTTCTTCCTATTTTATTCTTTCATACTTTCCATCACCAAATCTCATCTGAACAGACTGAGCTGAAGACATTCAGAGCAACCATGGTGAGGATAGGAGCTGGATCCATATTTACTGGGCTTCCTACTTCACCATCGTTCTCCTCACCAGTGTTGTTTCTATGTTGGCATTAAAGGTGAATATGCCCAAATATCACATTAATTTTTTACAGATTCTCACTGCCTGAGGTATTTTTAAAATTATTAATAAGATACATCTAATACGTAGCACGGGATACGAATCAAGCAAGAAGTAATAATGGTATAGTGATAAGGCAGTAAACTTGGACTCATATAACCCGATCTCTGATACGGACCATGGGCTTGGACTGGCCTTCTCCTCCCTTCTCATCTGGAAAATTAGAAAAGTATTTTCTCACTTTGCTAGTGTGCAGAGAGGATACAATAATTAGTGATTACAATGCATCAGTGGCAGAAGGCTGTGTCACTTAGAAGATTTCCATCTCTCTCATCAGTACAGCAGATACAAAACCTTGTTAGTTTATATTATTTGTCTGGATTACTACCTAATGAATTTGGAGAGAAGGTTTAACTTCATGCAGTCCTTCAAAAACCAGTGATTTGTTTCTGATGATTGCTTATGCCGTTAGGCAGGGTTTATGTTTGAAAACTTGCAAACATTTGCTTCAGGCTGAAATCTGGCAACTTGGCATATAAGGTCTCAGTCTAGGAGCATTTTTTTCTACCGTAGATTAAAACAAAATCAATTGCACACAAGATGCTAATCAGAAAACAAAAATTGATCCAGCTGTCCTGGCATAAATAATGTGTCTTTTCTTACACTCCTCTACCCTTAGATCTGCTATAATCATCCTGCATGTCCTGTCTGTAACTGACGGCATTTCCTATTAGTATGTAGCTCACAGAATCTTATTCTTGCCCATATCTTTCTGTAAATATTCATATCATGACAGAGATAGAGGATCTGCCTGTTAATGCTTCAGAGCTTGTCTTGTGTGCTTATAAAAAAAACAAAAATCACAGAAAATGGGCAGAATGTTGAAGTCCAGCAATAAATATCTGAGAAAAGATATAAGCATGGCTATATAAACAGCCCTATTATAAGTCTAATATTCACTAATAGCTTTTACTCATAGATTTTGTAAAACTTCTTTCCTTTAAAATCAGAGAAACCTAATCTTAAAATTATAGACAGTCTTAAGAAAACAAGCATTTATAAGGTGCTAGTCATCTTAAATCCCAAATAGTTCATTAAAAATGGATAAACATCACTAACTCCACTCTATAAAGCAAGAAACTGAGGCAGAAGGAGGTGAACTCTTCTCAAAAATATACATTACAAAACTGTGGTAAAGCTGTGATAAAGACACCTCCATTTGTCCGATGACAATCGAAGGATGTTCCAGTCTGGATGATTCGGAGGAGCTTCCACAAACAGCTCCAAGTGCTCAGCTGTGATGAGATGGATCCCACCTCTGTGGGACTGCAAATTCACAAGGAGACCTAGGCCCCACTGTGCTGAGCCTTGTGCTGTGAGCACATACAACAGATGTGCCTTAAATCCTGCTTCCATCTGGGCTCTGTGCTCTACTGTCCAGATGTTGGTATCTCCCGAGGTTACTCTACTACAAAAGGATGTGGCTCTGACATGCCCTGACAACACATCCTGTCCTTGCTCTAAATCCACATCAGGGCAAGAACTAAGACAATTCCTTTCTCCTAGACCTTGGTTCCTCTGGACAGAAAAACCAAGCAAGCAAGCCAGAAGAGGACAGCAGTCCAGTATGGCCAGGCCCCATTCAGGAGAGGATGCCCAACCACACTGTGGTGCACATCTGCTGCTCACCTCAGCCAGGTCCTGGCTTACACAGTTGAGTTATGCCTGAGGCTTTTCATCCCTGAAAATACTCTGCTTACTGTTGGGTTGCTCAGAAAGAGGTATCAATCTAAATTCCATTAACAGGCTGAGAGAGTTGGGGCTGTTCAGCCTGGAGAAGAGAAAGCTCCAGGGAGACCTTCTAGCGGCCTCCCAGTACCTGAAGGGGCTACAAGAAAGCCGGGGAGGGAATTTTCATAAGGGCAGTGAGTGACAGAACAAGGGGAAATGGGCTTAAGCTGAAAGAGGGGAGGTTTAGATTAGATATTAGGAAGAAGTTCTTCACTGTGAGGGTGGTCAGACACTGGAACAGGAAGTTGTAGATCCCCCCCTCCCTGGAAGTGTTCTTGGCCAGGTTGGATGAGGCTTTGAGCAACCTGGTCTAGTGGAAGGTGTCCCTGCTGCTGGCAGGGGGGTTGGAACTGGATGAGCTTTAAGGTCCCTTCCAACCCAAACCATTCTATGATTCTGAACAGATTGATAGCTGGAGGAGCGTGCTGTGCACCTCAAGCGCTGTGTCTGTACAGTCCATGTTGGACTAGTGCTACAGGCAGCAGAATTCATGGGGCACCCACATGTTCACAGAAATTACAGCAGCAAACCTCTGCAGGGTTGAGCTGACAACATGTACCAGTGGTGAAAGGCGTGTATGACTGCAAACAAAGCCTGGATTCCTTATATTCTGTATGGGGTTTCTTTTTTCCCAACTAGATAAAGAAAAGGGATGATAACATGTGATCAGGCCCAAAATATAAGTTCAAGGTCTTTTGAGATCTAGCAGGAGTGCCTCCTTTTGAAAGTAAAGGTAAACAAATGCTGCTATTATACCATATTCTTCCATGACACCTTTGCTACCAGTCCCTCACTCCACAAAACACAAAACTTCCCAAAAGAAATACAAAACCCCCCAAAAAATATGTATAGAGGACAACAGATATCAAGAGACCTGGCAATTTTGTTAAAAAGTAAATTGTTTTGTATGATTGGACCAATTATTCTGTTGATGTCTCAGATCTGGCCATCCATTTCTTTCCCCTCAAAGAAGTGGTAATGACTGCCTTCATCATACCTTGAAGATATCTGTAGCTCCGCGTTCAAAGTTGTTTGATCTATTTTCTAAGATGATCAGTTCAGTTTTACCAGTCTCACCATAAATCTGCATGAAGACTTTGGCATTGGTGCCTGCGGCCCGCACGTCTCCAGTAACTACAGACACCTCGTAGTTTATCACTAGTCCAAAAATAAAGCAATTAAATCAGCAGAGAAGCTCAGATAACAACATTCCTGAGGGCTCAGGTTCAAAATTTAATTACCTTGTTTTAACAAATGACCATGTAGCCAACCATTTGCTTTTATCCAAACTAAATGTGAGATAACACTACTCTTCACTGAGGACTAACCTGACAGTTTTTCCCTTTGCAAGTATTAAGCCAGTGTCAGAGGGGCACAAAATAAAGCCTTAAAAGGGAATTTCATTTCAGTGTTAACCATAGAGTGGTTAAATTATCTCCTTAATATAATACAAGGGAGAGAGTTACACAAAGCAGAGGAAAAACACAGCACACTTTCTCAGGATCCCAAGGCAAATTTTAACTATAGCCTTATAAGAAAACAAATTACTGATAAAAGTTAAATGTACTGTAGGGATTTGGTTCTTATTTATCAAACAGCTGCTGTCTTCCAAGCAATGCGGTAATAAGGCAGGATGAGACTTGTACTGGTGCAGGACTGGAGCAGGAAGGCAGGTAAATATGAAAAAAGCAGAACCCACTGATATAACAATGAGGAAACACAGTGCCTTGTGCTGTCCTACACTGCCAAGGATGTAAATTTTTCATACAGTCTCAGCAAATGGAGATGGAAAACTCTATCATGTTTTTCCAACTGTTTTATAAAACAGAACAAGAGGAGAATAATTTATTTTCCTTACCAACATAAGCTCTTTGAGACAAGGACTTTTTGGTTTTGGTGTCTAACACAGTGGTACCCTGGTCCTTAAGAATGCCAGTAATACAAATCTAGTCCTAGCTAAAAAACAGCACACGTTTCTCAACGTGTCTTCTCTTACATTTTTCAATAGGCACAATCTCACTGGGGTAGACCTCCACCTCCACCCTGCCATCAGCCTCGTCTTTGTCGAGCCATCGGTTGCAGGGGAACATGTACTGCTTTCCCTGGACTGGAACCATGATCTGGACACTGGCCAGGAACCAGCCAGACCGGAGACCCACGTTATCATGACCAATCAGTATTCGGTTGATCTTTAAAAAAGCACACAAAAATCAAGAGGGCAGAAAAATTCCCAACACAACAGAATTTACTTAATATATAAAAATCTCCTTCCCATGCCACCCTGTTCTTCTACTGTGTTCATGTAAATCATTTATATACGTATTTAACTACTAAATTTAAACACTCTTCACATGCCAGCATGTACACTAGACTGCAATAGTCTATACAGAATGTATTTCTTAATATCCAATGTAAAGGTCAGGCATTTTTACATCACGTTCAGTCCCGAGTGTTATATTGATTCTGAATTGAGACACTTGCACAAAGTACAGAGCCTCCTACAATTAATTCTTACCTTCCCAATATCCATCATATCTAGAGTAAACTCATCCACTCGACCACGTTCAAAATAATTCCCTAGATCATTATCAGAGACTAAGAGAGGCTGTTTGCTGGAATCTGCTTTTTCCCCATAGAGTTTGATGAAAACTTTGGAGTCTGAGCTGGCACCGGGGATATCTCCTGTCTTCACGCTGATGTGATAACTGACATCTAAAGTGAGATCAATGTACAAAACACAGACATGTGAGTCACAGTTCTAGTGCTCAGCCAGGCAATTGGCTTCAAACAGATAAAGGTGAGGAAAGCTCCAGCTACAGACACAGAAAAGACTTTGGTCCTCCATTCATGCATCCAGTATCTCAGAACCACACTGGAAAAGCTGTCACAACTTGGGAGTTATTCACTAAAACATGAGATACCACAGTTACACTAATAAACAAAAAATATTCTGTACTCCTCTGTCTCACCGTGAGATGATTACCAAGCCATAAAAATGAGCTTAGGCAAGTGATATGATTTCACTTTTTTTACACTTACAATTTAATTCAACAGCTATGTCTATTTAAAAAAAAAAAACAAAACAACAAAAACCAACAAAAAACCAAAAACAAAATAAAAAGGATCTCAACCTGAGCTCTGTTTTCTAAAGAATATTGTAGTATTGAAGCCCTGGTTCTCCAGAAAAGGACAAGGTAATCTTTTTGGCTATTTTCTTCTGGGAACACAATGTTAATTGACAGAATTCACTCTACTAAAGCAGTGGCAATTCAAGATCCTTCAGAGAAAGCTGTAGAAGAGGGCAATTCTTAAACAAATCACGGTGTTAAAAATCAAAGTTTCTTTCTGCATATATAATGTCACAATTATTTTCTTTTACACAAATTAATTCTATTCATAAACTAGGATTTAAGAGTTAAGAGGCATTTCCCCCCAAGTGACCTACTGCAGCTTCTTGCATAAGAATGGCAAAAAAGCCCAGTAGATTTACTGTGAACTGTTGTGAATCATTAAGTAGAATAAAGCAAGTAAATAAGTGCACATGCAGCTCAAACACAGACCTTTTTTCAAAGCTAAACTCACTTTTTAGCATCGGTGACTCCCCAGCGGGCACTAATTCTCGGACAATCTGACCATCATCCTCATTTTTGTCAAGCCATCTGGTTTACAAACAGAAGTAAGTTATCTTTAAATAATCAGGACCTAGTAGACCTTTCAAAGTCTAGGTGAGCTCCACACACAGTTAAAATATACACCATAGTCAAAAGGATATTTTTACTGGACTCTGTTAACTTGACAGGAGTTTGACCAAACCCTACAGCAGTCACACTTTAAAACCTCAATTTTTCCAAGAAATCAGAGATTATGAGAGCTCTTCTCACAGTAGATAAGCATCTGCTGGGATGTCCATCTGTCTGGAAAGTACAAACTCTATAGCCACAACTTATTCCTGTAAACAGGCAGTCTCAGTCTCTTGAAACCATGGACTTTCATTGACCAGAAATACTTGCAGCCTTTATTACTAGCTGCCTTGATTACAACCTTTATAGCATCTAAGTTATTAAAAAACCCTCTTTTTTTTTTGCTTAATCTAGTTTATCATTACTTTCCCCTTCTTACAGATAAGTATATAACCCTTTTTTCTCCACCAGGAAGGAGATGAATTATGTTGTTGCCATTTTCAGGACTGGGTATGTGGAGGCAGCTGGTACCAGCAAAAGGGAGGATTTCCTTTGTTTCTCAACATAAATCTAATGATCCAACTAGACTAAAGAAGAAGAAAAGCTGGGCACAAAGCAAAATGTAACATGATCTCCAGGGGGAAAAAAAAAAAATTGAAAGGAAAATTGAGGGGAACCTGTTGCTAATCTGATAACCCTCACAGCTGTTCCTTCAGCCTCCGGGATGATGGAATTACAGCCCCAACCCCATCATACGCCATATAGCAACTGTTGTAGAACAATAACAAGGGCCCTGGAAGAGGTTTCTCACTTTCCACTTCAAATCCAGACTTCTGCAGCACTCAGGATAGTCCTGTAAGCACCTGCTTAAGGTCAGGTTTCCCAAAAAAGTGCACTTGGGGCATTTCAGATCCTGAACATAGCATCATGAGGGCAGGTGTGGTGCCCAGCAAGCCCATTTTTCCAGGTACACACCTATCTGCTTAATAAAAATAATTAATAAAATGCTGCTTAAAACCATCATGGGTGAACAAAGGACTAGTGAGCAAGCTCTGACAGGTCCCACAGAATATTAGGATTGTTATAATAATTCCCAGAACAATAAAGAAAAAAACAAATCCCAAGAAAATCTTTCTTTTTAAAGGCTGCCACATAGCAATGTGAATGACACTAGACCACAGAAGACCTGTTTCTGCACAAACATATGCAGCACAGATGTACTTGCAACCTTCCTGCAGTGCCATCGTGCCACACATATTCTTCTTGGCTGACCCTCACACCAAAAAGGAGGGGAGCTCACTCCACATTTAAGCTTCCACGCACACATGGAAATCAACAAACGACCCTCATAAAAGGGGTGTGGGGACCTGAGCAAATGACCATTGAGAACTGGATTGAATCTATGGTAACTTGCTGGTAATAAGCCAGCACAGTTTACAGTGATGAACAATTGGACTTGCCACAGTGACCAAGAAGTAACCAGGTATTTTGGAAGATCAAGGATGATAGGTTTCCATTTCCATCTGAATTAACATTATCTTTTCAGTCACCTCCTCTCCCTTCCCACTCAGAGGAAAACCATAAACACAAAGAAACCATGCAAAAAAAACCAGCACTAGGAAAGATATCCAAACATGAGCTAGAGCCGATTGGTCTCAGAAGCACAAGCAGCAAAGTCTGCATGCAGAAGAGATGCATAGAGCCCCACCACACAGACACACATCTCCACTCCCAGCCTCCCTCTAAGCTTTGGTGGGTTGTTGGGTATGCAGTCTACCCCGTACTCTTCCCTTTCACTCTCTAAAGCAGGTGGCCATGTATGGATGGCTTGAAAAGAGCTAAAAGCTAAGGGGGCCACCATGGTGGTGATGAATGTATGTTGAATATATGAACATGTGAGGAAATCAGATGCAGTGTTGTGCCTCAGTGGAGGCTGAGAGGTGTAGTGGGGATAGAGGAGCAGAAAAATCTGTGGGAAAGACCATGGAATTGATGTCAAAATTGAGCAAGGGTAGAGTGTAAGAAGGGCAGAAAAGGAGCATGCTAAGACATCATGTTGTCTTAAGAAAGGAAACCTTTATTAATGTTTTTGGGGTTGGGGGATTCTTTTTTTACCTGTTAGAATTGGTCCTTAGTACCTTTGTATCATGTAGTTCTTCATGCTGGCTCAGGATTCACATCCTTGGACAGATATCCAATGGTGAGGGGATCACATCATCCCTAAAGTCAAGATGCTTCTCCATACATGGATGTCAACCAGGAGGACCCATAAAATGTGAGCCTGAGGCTCCCCACACCAGGACCACTGAATTCAGCACATCTTTCAGGAAGGCAGAAGCTCACAAGGTAACTACACTTTTGCTCTCCTGCTGCTGTTTTTTGTGTCCTGCAAGCTGCTGCTTCTGCTGCCGGTGTACATGCTGTTGTTTTCTGTCGCCTTCACCATTACTGATGTTTTAGGGAAAAGTGGGATGAATCTGGGTGAATCACTTCTGTGCCAAGGTGACAGGATGAAAATACATCCCACAAGAAACAGATCTCTATGTGCAGCATGGCAAATGCTGATTCCTTCAGCAGTGAGGACAGATGAGAAAAATGAGTCAAAAAAGGAGGACACACCCCTAGATAAAAAATCCCCTCTACCAATATTGAGGGAAAGTAGCCCCTGATGGCAAGAGAAGGAGTATGTCTTCTACTGGAAGAGGAAGAAGGAGATTTATCAGCAGAAGTGGCTTAAGGCTTCTTACTTTGTTTCAGTCAAGAGAATAACCAGAAGTAGCAGAAGCACTATTTTCTCAAGAAGATGACTTTAACTAGTGACAGAGGAAGTATTTGGATGAGCAATGCTATTGTGTTCCTTTCCTTCAGCACATATGCTGCAATATCCTAATTCTACTTAAATGTAATTCCAATAGTGTATCACTGAGCAGCAGATTGCAACCAGGGGTTTATAGTCTTACACTGAACAAAAATGGATTGGCACATTATAAACACATCAGGCTGCAGAAAAATAGAATTTTTCAGTGCAGTGCCTTCATATTCCTAGTACAAAAGACATGTCAAAATCTTTTATTTTACCAGAGCTTCCATATGATTTCAGTGCATGTAATGATACTGTGGGTTTTGCAAGGTTGTAGTCCTATCCTGTATCATATACTCAATTCTAAAGAGATACTGTCGGTCCCACAACCCAAAGAGGACACAAATATTACATGAAAACCACTTCAGGGAGAATTTCTAGATCAAAGAGTTAGAGAAACATTGGAGAAATATATGGTATGACGTCATAGTTAGCATTTGAGATCCAGCAGATGATAACCTGCATGCAATTAGAATGATTGTGTCTTTAAATATAACCTATATCTATAAACACATATAAAATAGATAGACATTTCAATCTATTTTTAGGCAACAAAAGGAGGTTTCTCTGGATCCTTTCTATGATGAACACTTTTGGCATTTGATTGAATAAATGTTCTTTCACAGGAGTCTCCTAGTGCATCATCCCATTCATGATCTGTTTGTTGTTTCTCAGAGTATTAACAATGTTCCCTTATGCTTGTGCTTGAGAAAAAATAGGATGGTGTAGTCCATATGCTTAGGAAAAAATGTAACAAAGTATTATTGAAGATTTCAGTGAAGCTGTAATGATTTATAGCATGCAAAATTCTATCCTATCACAAACTCATGACTTTGGCTGATTGAAAATTCATTTCTGTCTGGGATATAAATATTATGAAAAATAGGCTATTTTAGAGAATGTCAGCTAGTCCATTCCTGGACTTCTACTGAGCCTTGCGGAGAAAATGAAGTCTGAAGAACCGAGTTCTGATCTTCAAAAAGGTTTGGCTCCAGTTCTGGGGTGAAAGGTGAACTCCTTCATTTTCATGAACTCCATTCATAATCACAATACCTAAACCACATCAGACATTGTGAGGTATAAATTGCTCAGTTGTGTCACTGAATGATTCAGTGTTCAGTCCCTAAAAGCATGGATATTATCGTGTCATGTGGTCATTAGGGAAAAATAACACTGCAATGCATCCAAGGGATGTACTAGTAATTCTGCAAATAACACTTGGATAATTACTTGCATTTACTTCTTGCAAGCACAGATCAAATGACCGCTTTAAAAATCACTGACTCTAAGAGCTACAAGCTTTTCCCTTTAGAGCCAACTGTTTTAAGAGTTGAAAGCACAGGCCTGGGAGTTATTATTTCTCGATGCTCTTCCTGAATCTGACACAAACTCACACTTAATCCTCTTAGCTTCTCTTTATCTCTGCTAGCTCCCTTGTAAAACAAAGACAGTTCTTCTCATAGAGCTCTTGTGACTATCAGGTAATAGATGTTCCTACGTAGTCATAAAAAAGCTTTCAAATTAAAAGATAAAACCTAGCTCTGTGTGTGAATGTGTAAATAACAAGAACAGAGACTTCAATGGGTTGTATGCAATGCAGATCTATAAGGATATTTTAGAGACACTAGTTATAGTGGAAGCTGGTTAGCCAGCTCTTTGTTATAATATCTGCTCTCCACATGCTGGTACAGTCTACTTTTTACAGAGGTAAGAAGCTTTCTGCACAGGTGAGATGTGTTTCTGCTGGAAGGCATTTTGTCTTCTAGCTGTCTCACAGTAGCAGCTAAACAACAGAAAGTCAATGCAGTAGCTTTCAGTAAGGACAAGGCAGCAGAAGTTGTTTTTTCCAGACTATGCAATTGTGTTGTGTAAAGAGTGAAAGCTAATCAGGTCTTGGAGATGAAGGCAATGAGAACATCAGCATGTCTACTGGTTAGCCACAGACTAGCCAAGAAGAAAGAGAAACTTCCTTGGTGTCCCCTGAATGGAGTCTCTATACTAACGTCACTTACATTGGCTTGCTAAAAGAAGGCTGCTCTTCTTGGACAAGTCTTCTTCAATATCTTGGCTTTGAAGAAGCAGGTGAAGCAGGTCTTTCTGAGCACCTGCCAAAGCAGCAAGGACCTAAGCTGTCCCTGACCTACAGGACTGGAGGAGAACATCCAAACTCTGCAGGTCATGGAGATGTTTGTCCCTCACATGGAGGATGCAGTGGGTGAGCACCTTCGCCCTCAGATATCTCTAGACTCCATGACGACACCCGTATACTGCGATGATGCCCCAGTCTCTTAAGAGACACAGGCACCAAAGATAGTGAGAGGGAGCAGCTGTCCCTGTGTTTGGTGGTGATCAGTCATGTTACCTTCTCAATCTGAGTGGAAGAGATAATGCTGGCGCAAGGACAGCAAATAAAGCTGTATGAGCAACACTGATATCATTTGGAAAAAGAGACATTAAGAAAGGTAAGAAGAGTGGAATTCCATCACTTGTGACTTGAAGCCTGAATGCACCTCATTAATATTTTGGGGATAAGGTCTTGGGTTTTCTTTGTCCCTCCTTTTTCAGTCCCTGGCCTGAGGGGAATGCCCTGTGGACTCTGATGCTTCTGACCTTCAGGTGTAAAGCTAAGGAGAATGGGGCCATCACTCCAAGCTGGGGGAAGACACTCAGATATACAGTCAACTATGGAGGGATATCAAAAGGAAATCGTTAAAATGAGCCAGCTTTACAGTTAGGCACAGAAATTTCTCTGAGGACTTTGAGCAAAACAGCTCTTCACGTGGACACTTCATGTCCAAGTAAAAACTTGTCTCTCCTGTTTAACTCAGTAAAACATATGGTTGTTAAATATATATCAAAAGGCATCAATGACAATGTGTTGGTTTGTTCCCTGAAAAGAGAGAGACTGGCTTGCTTTTCACAGTCAAGGTGACATTGCATATGCTGCTCTGTGCTGTCTCCCCGGTGAGTTTACTCTCTGATGTGACGTGGCTTTAGCAATGCAGAGAGAGTGGGGCTGGCTCCTGTTTTGTATTTGGCTGACTCCCCTCATTACTGTGGAGTTCTTCCTGATTTACAGTGACAAGAGACAAGTAACCAGCTTAGCAGTTTTACCTTTGTTCACAATTTAAAAATAATTGTGTTTGCATTTTACAATTCCACTTGTCCCCCAGGAGATGACTTTTTAGAATGAGGAATTGATGGCATTAAGTAGAACTCAGTGGACTTCTGTCTTACAGGGTGAACATTCTGAGAGGGTGGGTGGGACTTTATGGGATGCTGAACTGCACTGAAGTTTGTCTCTGAGGTTTTCACCCAGCTCTCTCTGGTTTGTGCTGTGATGTTGAGGCAGAACCTAGTTAGTGCCTGGACAGAAGGTGCATCTTGTTCTTGCCTCAGTACAGCACATTTCTTTTTGGTCACTTGGTTGTCTAAGAAAGAGAAGAATACATTTATAACCCACCCATAGGGGTAAGTTACAGCTCTCTGCTCTACTGCTGTCTCTCTCTGCATAATATGCATTTCCCTGCATGCAAGGAGCTCTCAAGACATCAGCATATCAATTTTGCATTCTCCCAACACAAAAATAGCATCCCATTGCTAGTGGAAGGATGGGATGTGCATGTGAGGGACCAGAATCTCATCCTACACATGCAATAAAACTAGCAGATTGCAGTGGGTTGCAGAGTATGTTTCTGCAGCAGGCAATTGCAGTGGCACTGGATGTGGTACTGGGAGGTTGTATTTTACTGTTTGGAAATTCTCTGTATTACTGAGCTAATTGCTGAGAAGTTCACAATTCCGATTGCTGTTCTGTTTGGTAAAGGGAGTTTACCATATCTTAAACCTCCCAATCCACACTCTTCGCTTTCAGGCTTAGCAAAAAATAAATGAATGAATAAATAAAAAGGATTAAGCTGTGCTCGGAAAATTCCAGTCTTGGAACAACAGCTAGGTTCTTCAGTGCATAGATGGAGGCATAATTTGCAAGCATTATTTCCAGTACCTGTAGCAGGGGAATTCCACAGCCTCACTTTCTGGCTGTCCTTCTTCCCTCACTATCACTTTGGCAAGGTACCAGCCACTGCTTCCTCCTTTGCCATCATGCCCTATCCTCACTCTCCTCACCTGCTTCAGCGTTACTGCTTCAACGAAGAATTCATCAGCCTTTGAAAAGGAGAAGAAAAAAGGTAAGGCAATATTTCTGCTCAAAAATAAACAAACAAACCAAATTTATTATTGTAATCAAATCAACATCATCAGCATACTGGAAGATAATTCTTCACAAGATGAAGGAGAAAGTATGAATTAATTTACTAAAGAATGAAAGCTTGAATGTTTGTGCTAGATGTAGAACATTAGGTTTACAAATATATGATCTGCCAGCATTTTAAATCTCCCATGTCATTGCATGCCCTCCACAACTGTTAAAAAAAAGAAAAAAAAAAGAAAAAAGTAAAGTAATTTTATTATTAAGAAGTTCATACAGAGAGGCAGGAAATCCAAGTTCCAGCCCTTGCTCAGATATTAGCTTTCTGGGAAACCAGGGGCAAGTCACTTCAGACCAAATCCACAGAGGTGTTCAGAGGTGCAGTTCAAAGACATTACCCCACTTTAAATTCACATGACATGGACTACTGAGCACAGTTTAACCCCAGCCATTCCCTGGTGTGCAAGCATCAGCCATGGCTGCTTGAGGTTATTTCCAGCTGCTCCATGAATTGTGTTCAGACGTTGGTGTGAACCTAACCCAGCAGCTAAATACCCTTAATACCCCACAAAGACATGAATTTTATGTCTTCCCCCCAACCCCTGGAATAGGGCTCAAATCACCAACCTACAGATTAGCCCAAGTGATGGCCCCTCAGGAACTGAGCTCTGTTACCCAAGGTCATACTGAGACCAGCAGTTCCCAATGGCTGAAGAAAGAGAGATATATTGAAAGAGTGAGTTACTCCCATGGGAATCAGACCAGACAAGTACTTATGGTATATGTACAGATGCACACACATGTATGGTAAATACCTGCATGAACACTTGGTATATCTGAAGCATACAGCCCGACAAACAAACATGACTGATATGGTTACCATCTGGCTGAGATGCCTTGTTTGGTAAGAGAAAGCTAACCAAACACTGCGATTCATCATCTCTCAAAAGCCCATGAAGCACATGTGGTAGCATATATCCAGCTAGCTCCCAGAAAATGTGGTGGCAAGGCAGTATTTATTTAGATATTTAAATTTATTAAAACAATCATTATTTTTCCATCATTCAGGACTCCCAGCTGACCTTTAAAATACACATGCTATCACTGGTTTAAGTGTTAATGGTGGGCTTACTTAAATCAACAAGTGTTATCTACATACCCAAAAGCTGCTGAATTGGGGATTTAAGTATTACAACCTCATTGAGTCAGTCTAAGTCAATGAATTCTAGTTCATTAGGCCTGATGTTCATCTTACTTATTAACAGCTGATATAAATTAATGAGTAAGTAACTAAATGGAACTGCAGCAGGGCAAACACCTAATTTAGAGTCATCTATAGATTTTACCTTCTATACAGTCTGTTAGTTTTCATCTGCAAGCAAACTTTTCAAGTTAAATTGTTAATAAAGGCGTTATTGGTTTAAGTGGCTGTAGATTAGAGATCGCACTGACTTAGCTACATTTCTTTTTAACAGGGTATCTGAGTTAATCAGTGTAGATATACTCATTTAGTCTCTCCCATACTTGAGCTCTAAGTTTGTCAGGATCAATCCTTAAACAGTTTCCGATTCATTTATTGGCTTTCGGCTCTTCGTGCCAAAAGAACAGTTTTTCATTAATATATTCCAGTTTGGTTTATATCTTCTGGATACTATTAATCACATGATTTGATTTCCAAAATTATTTTTAGTATTTTTTTTTCCTCTTCATGCAAGTTATCCTATAACTCCTTTTTGAGAGTAAAAATAAAATAGTCATCATCTGTGTTTACAATACTTGTGTCTTCTGCAAACCAAACGATTCTTTTAGGTCTTCACCACTAAAACAATGACTCATTTAGCTGCATTCTGACAAAACAAGACTTCACCAAATGAAAAAATGCTGTCCTTCACAGTTTGGGCATACCTTTTAAAAATAAAAAAATCTATAATGTAAAAGCATAGGCAAAGATTTGATGTTTGCAGTGCCCAGGTATGCAAACCTTTATATCATTTAGAAAAAGAATAAACTTTCCTATTATGTAAGTGCCACATGTTCCCACGGACAGGTCTTACAGGCACAAGAAAACCTTGGTGAAAGTTCCTTTAAAGTCTAAAAAAACTCAGAAGAATTGGAAATTCTGGACACTCAAAGGCAAATCTAGAGTGTCAATGCATATTTCAGAAGCCTAAATTCAATGGTCCATTTTGAAAATATGACAGCCTTTTATCCTCATTTTCTTTCCATTCCAACTCTTCAATCAAGTAATGACACAAAAAATGGGAAATCTGCAGAGTTCTGTGATCAGATTCCCAAAATCTCCCCTGGGAGATAACAATTATATTTTAACAGTTTAAGCTGGACCCTAGAGATCCGGATGTGCCTCAGAACTGCATACTGAGTAGGTTGACCTGATAGATCAGATCAGCACACTATTTGCTTGCTAATGCTGCAAGGGTTTTTACTACAGTTTGACCTCGTTGCCTCCAGCTTTCCATGGAACAAGCTCAGTCTCCAGTTCAGGCCATTTACACCCCACTCCACTTGGGACATGTGTATACAAAAACATGTTGAAAAACAGATTGAAAATCAGACACAAAAATTGAGTGCAGCATGGTTGAGGGGAGAGTGGGGGAAATACAAATGTGATAGGCTTTCGGTTCTGATTTTCACATTAAATAAAATGCTTTTTCTTCCTTTGCCCCAGGAGCCAAATTTTTGCCAGACTAGGTGTAGGGGAAAAGGTTCTCTCTTGCTTGTGGAAGATGGACAGATTTCCTGGAAGCTTTCCCCCATCTGAAGATACAATTTCAATAGTCCGTACTTAGCTGGGGAGCAAACCTGGAGACTCTTTTATGAACATACCGATGTCAGACAAGAGCACACTGTCCTTGACCTAAACCTCCTTCCAACTACAACCTGTTATGATGTTCTATGGACATGATATAGAATCATAGAATCATAGAATCATA